GACAGCCCCTAGTGATCTCAGCATTGTATATGACGTTTAAGTAAGCAAATAATATTAATTTGTTTGAAAAAACAATGTCATTTAAATATTAAAAGTATTTATTTGTAATGCTTAAAGGGAAACATTTTTGTGAGTAATTGTCTCGATTTTGACCATTAAAACGGGTATTGTATTTTTGACGTCATCAAATAGCTCCAAAAAAGAAATGTAATGTTTTCATTCCGTTCAAGGCCGCTGAAGAAACGCGGGATCTTGCGTGGGACATTGCAGGGACATTTACCGGGGTTACATGAGCAAGTAAATGCGTATCAGGAACGGATTTTCCTATTCGCTCACCATTGTAGTCCGTTTGTAATGCGTATTAACTCTGCTCATGTAACCCCGAGCATTGTCCGTTGTTTGCCGCGCAGAGTTGTGCCGTGGTTGTGCCTTTTTCATCCGTTTCTTACGTATGGCATATGTGTGCATGAAGCTTTGATTTTGTTTTTGGTTATTGTGTGGCCGGTCAGTCAAACGCCCCTGTAGAAACCGGATGCTGCCTTTGATCGAGATGGAGTCAGACGATGATTGCAGAAAGCTAATAATATTGAAAAGAGGGCCGGTTGCGTGGCATGTCTGTTCAGAGTTGACATTTTGCTTTACTCCAGTTTATGACCTGAGAGCCTGGCTGGAAGTGACGGATCCAAACTTTTCACGTTAAAATGGCTGAGGGTGCAATAATCTCTAGTCTCTACATAGCGGGCTGGTATAGGAGCGTCTTGCTACGCTGCACCATAGCTGGCTAGTGATTCTCTGTTGGCTAGAAATGGCATTAATCATTATCTCCACTGGCGAAAATGGCACTTGACATCACCGAATGCAACGTTCATGTTGTTAGGATACGTAAAATCAGGAAGATTACGCGAATTAGGTAGGCAAACGTGGAATAAAATAGGTGCTGGATGTTTTGGTTTTGGTGCTGAATCAGCAAACAGCAAATACGGAGTTCAACTAGACGATCTGGCAACTTTAGGCTGTGTGGAAGCAATTAGGTGCCAGATTCAGATATTAGGGTCGAATAAGCATTTTGGGGCTGATCAGCAATTAGGTGCCAGAAACAGCTTTTTAGGGACCAGAAACAAATATTCCCCATTTGAAAGCATTGCTCAGAAAGAGCGTTAATAGGGCTATCGAATGCGCTTTTCCGCGGCGCTGTAGCTCTATTGGTTCCCGAGTTATGCGTTGGCTTCTGGGAAATTGTCCACATTCGACCTGAAAATCGGCGAAATTTTGCCTTCCATGACCTCTGGTGACCTGACCTTTGACCTGACAAAAAGGAACGTAAGTATTTTCATTATTTTTAGCGCTCTTTCGAACGCCGCCTATCACTACGTGACCCAGGAGCCGAGTTAGAAGGGGGGGGGGGGGGGGTCAAGCATACCTCCCAGTAGGGCGTGGAAATCCAGAACCCCCAGCGGGGCGCGGGCTAAAGGATAACCGCGGTGATGACCATGCTCTTGACCCTTACCTGCCAATGGACACATTTCCTATTGTGGGAATCTACTTCTCCAGTGAGGTTACATTGCTTAGTAAAATAATCTATTCTTGACATTGCCTACTTTCACTTTGATATGTTAATATGATTTTTTTTATCATCACTTATTTTGTCACAGGTGCTGCACTGCTGGATGAAGATGGAAGGGAGCACAGTCACTCAGCCAGCATGTGGTATGTACCAACCAAACTGGCATGCAATCACTGAGCTTCAGAGGCGTGTTTATGTGTTGGCCGTATTTGCAACAGACATGTGCATGGATCCGAGTGCTGGATCTACGATCTCAGTGGATATCGCAGTAATCCACAGACTAGGATCCATGATCCCACCGGATCCGGCGTGAAAAATTTATCCTGGATCTATGATCTCATAGGATCTGACGATAAATCAAGAACGTGGATCTGTGATCTGAGTAGATCCCGCCACGCAAACATTTGGAACTAGGTTTACAAGTGTTTCTAAGCCAATTAGTGCCACAAAGCTATGGAGTATGACGTGCAATCACATAAAATTACTAAAACAGAATGTTTGTGAGCTGCAACAAGTGATTTTTTTCTGTGTTGACGAAAATAAGCAACGACTATGATCTCAATGGATCCCAAGCTAAAAATTAGACTCGGATCTATGATCCCTACGGATCTCTCGACAAATCAAAGAGCTGGATCTATGATCCCGTCGGATCCTAGATCAGGATCCGTGGGATCAGATCCCAGATCCATTTTCTCGGATCCATGCACATTGCACAATGCACATGTCATATTTGCAATATTGCAAATTCTGAGACAACTGGGCCTGGCCATTGCCAGCAGCAGCGGGGTGGTCGGCTTATTGCCAGTAACGGTGGTGTACAGTGTCCCAGGATTGGCTGAATATTTGTTCCGTCACATGCTATTATGCTCAATTCTTAGCCCGCGCAGAGGAGTGTTTGGACATCCCCCTGCGATTTTCCCCAGATAACTCAGACAGCTGCGCTCCCGCCACTGTTTTTGGTACACCTATGCATGCATCTTTTCCGCACATGTGAAAATTTCTGACCCAGATCGCTCAAGGTGAAGCCACCAGGTCACATCAAGTGACTGATATTGGTGATCTAAGGTCAGATCAATTTTGCGACCTCTCCATTATATAAGTCAATGGGAGAATTGAAAGGTTCCTCTTGTGAACGAACGTCATTCTAAAAACTCTCAAACACTGAATTACAATTTAACATGACACACTGAACCGGAAAATGGCACCCGTGACCCCTCCTTATGTCCCTGAGGTCATCTCGGGTCATGACTGGTAGGCATCTAACTGTTTTTCGCATATACGTAACTCTTGATAGTTGATAGTAACTTTTGATATAGGTACGTAACTCTTAATAACTCTAGTTTTTTGCATCCACGTAACTCTTGATAGAGGCATGCTAGAGCGATGAAAACGCCTTAGATGTGTTCAGTTCGACGATACGGATTGATTGATACCCGAGATGATCTTTTTCGGTCCGGTCATGACCTTGACCTGAGTTCAAATGGCCAAGCTGACCTTTCAAGGTCAAATAATAGTTTATTCGATGCGTCTTGACGAGAGAAACACGATACCGTTAAAAGAAACTCGTGCAAGGTTCAACCCGCGCCCCGCAGCCCCGTTTCCGTTGATATCTCCTAAACGACTGCAGATGTCGTCACCAAACTTTCAGGACCCCTCCGGGCATCAATTTTACGCAAAGTGACCAATTTTTTCCAGAGGCAATGATAGGAATGATGACGTCAGAATGACGTCAGAATGACGTCAGAATGACGTCATGTTCTGCCATTTTCTACCCAAAAAAAGTTTCGCGGGAAGAGCTGCCTGGCCCACAGCTGTGAAGATAGAGAAAAATGTTCATGACATAAAAGGTGTAGAATAAACCGGGCTATAAAATGCTATCTCGGATTTTTGAAATTTTTGGATTTTGAGCCAAAATAATCAAAAAAGTACCTATTGTTGGATGTATTTGCCGAAAAATCCAAAAAGTTGTTCGAATTTCGGGAAAAACTCTTAAGTCGTAAGATATATGTGATAGTCCCTACCATTTTCTATCCACATAGGTACCAAATTTGAGATTTATACCTCTATTTTTAGCCAAGTTATAGCGAGAACACTTCAAAATTGATGACGTCAAATTTTCCAGCTTAATTTTTTTAGCAATTCTAGACCACATGGCGTAAAACAAAGACCACCATTAGACTCCCCGTGGCGAGCTGCATTGAATCGGTACCCATTTCATGCAGAAATATCAACTTTGAAATTTGACCTAATTTGACCTGACTTCCACCTGACCTTCACCAGAACATAACCTAAACTGGCCTCAAATGTTGCCTGACCCACATAATCGCATTTGTCAAGTAAAATGGACCCTAAAACGTGTATCACACGACACTTCCGTATTGTGACCTGCAGTGACCTGACATCTGTGTCCTGTGACCTGACCTGTTATCATTGACCTCAAATAGCAAAATATGTGTTTTACGGACAATTCTTCCATCGATGATTTTCAATAGCATGCCTTTTACTCGATTTTACAACACATTTTCTGAAATGCCTGTAAATGGTGAAAATTCGACATTTGACCTGACCTGTGACGTCATCGGTTGGAATGAGGTAAATGAAAATTGGGTCACAAGGTAGTTCCGTGGTAGGGCTATCCAACGCCGTTTGAATTTTGAAAATCGGCCGGTAACTTTCCTAGATCTAAGAGGGGGGTGCCGAAACGCCCCCCCCCCCTAGCCATACGGGGCGCGAGTTAAGGCAGAAGCTATTGCAGAAAAAAAAACTTCCGCAAAAATGGTCTATTTTGGCCGTTTTAGCCCCCTCCAGGCAATACCGTTGACCGTAGGTCAGACCTGATATAAACATTCAGAAAGACCGTGAATAGGGCTATGGAATGCGCTTTTCCGGGGCGCTGCAGCTCTATTGGTTTCCGAGTTATGTGCCGGTTTGTTGAAAATTGGCGACATTGGACATGAAAATTGGCGAAATTTGGCCTTCAGTGACCTCTGGTGACCTAACTATAAAAAAGACAAAAAGTAATTTCGTCATGTTTTTTGACGCTCTTTCGGGCGCTGACTAACCCGTAGGTATTAGCGTGGCCCAGGAGTAGCAAAAAAAGTGAATGCCTCATTTTCCGTAAAAACAACATTCTATCAGGAAAGGAGCAGCTTTATTAATTGTGTCAGCTTATGAGACCTGACCAGTGACTACCGTAAGCATTAATCACATTCAGAAATGTAATGGAGTTTTATGCTCTACTAAAAAGTTGCAGATTCCAAAATGTGTAAAGGTCCGTTCCTGCCACGATGTCTCTTGATCGGCTCCGGTTGCTTAGCGCTGCCTAACTTGGAGCTCAAGTTTGCGTGATAAAAGTAAGCGATAAATTAAATGGCACTGTTCAGGATCTACCCAGCAGTCGGCGCGGACACATCTCAGCTTCACCACAGAGTCGCGACACCTCTGAGTGCGTGTATTGTACGGGCGCCTCCTATATCCGGTAACCGGCCGATGGTCGTGACAACAGCGGCGCGCGACGCCGCTCGGGAGACGGTATGAACATGCTATGGAGAAGAGTACAAGAGTATCATGGCTGCTGGGCGGTGGCCCGTCGCCGCGGGTCGGCGATACACACGACCTCGTCTCTCGGGTCCTGTATTGCTCACGGGATGATTAAGCCGCTGCAGCGGCAGGCGCGGTGTCACACGTGGACCACTAGCGCTCCCTGTCCGCCACTGCGTGACCTCCAGCGGCGGCGGCCTAGCGGGCGGCCTTGACCACGCTGCCGCCGGGGATGTTGTCCAGCACGAGCTGCTCCATGTCGAGCTCCTGCAGCTGGCTGCCGATCACCCACATCAGCGGCCGCTCGATGGCGTCGATCACGATGTTCTTGAAGAGGTTGGGGAAGCTGTTGACGCCCAGCTCGAAGGCGTAGTCGAGGCTGCCGGCGCCCTCGGAGCGCAGCGTCAGCGTGCCCAGGTCGATGTCCAGGTCCTCGATGCGCGGCTTCTGCGAGAGGTTGAGCGGCTGCGCCAGCCGGGCCCGCAGCTTCAGGCTGTCCACGCTGAACCGGATGAAGCCGTTACGCTCCAGGAATCCGAAGGCGCTCACCCGCCAGTGGTACCTGCAGCCAAGGGCGGCGTCAGCGATCCTATTTCACTCTTGTACAATATATTGTCATGTATGCACGCTGCCTCGTTACAGGCGGTCTCTCCGTCTCTCGTCGTTATAAGTCAGTTCTTACCCCTGCGGTCAGTTCTTAATTCTCCCCCATTCCCCCACACCAACCCGGTCGTAGCCCCCTGGTCGCACTGACCTGCCGGTGATGCGCTGCGTGCCCAGCGCCACGGTGGTTTTGGCCGTGTACTCCTGCATGCCGACGGAGATCTCGCCGGTCCGGTGAACGGTGCTCAGTCCCGTCAGAGAGCCCTCGGTCAGCGTGATCTGCGCGCCCACCGGGCGACACTCGTCAGTGACGCCCCACACTCGGAGCAGGGGTGGAGACGAAACCCCAGCCGCCCCGACTCGAACAGTCGACGGTCACTGACTCATCGGCCCGTGATATTAGATCGCGATGTTAGCTGGCTGAACCATTATGATGCTAATATCTCAACCTAAGCCGGCGACGAAAGTCCGACAACCAACTCGGTCACTGCCACTCGAGACATACCTGCACTCCCATGGAGTTTGACCTCTCGACAGAGGGCAGCTCGAGCGGGTCGTAGCCCTCGTCGCGGATCATCTTGCGCACCTGGAGGACGGCCACGTCGAGCACGGGGATGGAGTCGGAGAAGAGGATCTCCTCGTTCAGAGCTCTGGGAAGCAGAGGGCCCCGGGCCGGTCAGCGCATGGTCGTGGAGCACGGGCGTGCTCGCCAGTGACGGTGTTCTGATTGATGCTCACTGCTCAAGAATTGTTTTATGTAAACTTATTTGAAATTCCCTTGTATATTCCTCAGCAAGGAGTTACGTTCTTCAGAAATGTCAATAGGAGATATGTCCTTTTTAGGGCAACATGATTGGTGCGTTATATTTGTCCATTGTTGTCAATTGCTTATGAGTTATGCCTATGTGAACTTTAAAAAATTATGATTATTCGATAAATGATTCTGTCCGGCGTCCGCGGGGCACACCTAAGCTGCTCGTTGACGTTCTTGGCCAGCGCTTCGTTGACCTTGTCCAGAGTGAGCGGCTTGATGGCGTCGAAGAGGAAGGTGCCCATCATGTTGACGGCGCCCTGGATGATGTAGCCCAGGCCGCCCAGGTTGTGGAAGACCACGTCGATGTCGCCGAAGCCGACGTCCGTGGTGACATCGTTGAGCTGTGGAGAGGGGTTCAGTGTGAGAGACCGGGTACTGGATCCGAGCGTCACTGTACCCTACAGCGCCAACAGCGGCCCGCAGCGGCGTGGAGAGGCGAGTGAGGATTGCCTGGCTAAAGATGGTCATGTCGAGTTACCTGGACGGTGCCGTTGGTGCTGACTTCCAGGATGCCCTTGCCCTCGGCTTTGATGTCCTCCAGGGTGATGTTGAAGTCGCCGTTGTAGTTGGACCAGAAGTAGTACAGCTTGTACTTTCCCAGCGCGGTCAGCGACTTGAAGAAAATCTCGTATCGGAACTGAAACGACAGGCAACTTACTTTAGTACTAGTGCTTTTACGCATTTTCGGGCTCCCATCTGCACAGGCGATAATAGTTTTGCCAACGGGTGGGTAATGGAGGCAAGACAGCAGCAAACATTGTGCATTCCTGTTGACACGTGACGGGCCGCCGGTCGGCCGACTCTGGGGCACCCACCTCCTGCGCGGAGAGGTCGACCTTGACGTCGCGCAGTTCGAAGTACTTGAGTCCGGTGAGGATCATGTCCTGCAGGTTGACGTCTGCGCCGGCCACTGTCTGGTCGATCTTGGCTGGCACCGACAGTGGGTCGGGGACCAGAGAGCCTGCCGAACACACAGTGGGTCAGGAAAGAGCTACCCTGCCGGACCCAGTGGGTCGGGGACCAGCGAGCCTGCCGGACACCCAGTGGGTCAGGAAGGAGCTACCCTGCCGGACCCAGCGTGTCAGGAAGGAGCTACCCTGCCGGACACACAGCGGGGTCAGGAAGGAGCTACCCTGCCGGACTCGGCGGGTCGGGGACCAGCGAGCCTGCCGGACACACGTCGGTGTCATGAAGGAGCTGTCTTACCGGACACGGCGAGGTTAGGGTTCAGGAACCACACAGCGGGTCATCGGCGGGCCAGCCGCCCTGTCGGCCACCAGGTCCTTGACGTCTGGCTAGCAATTTACTGGGGTATCACCCTCTGACTTCTAATCAGCAGATCACCGGCCTGTGATCACCAGCGGACGGATACTCTCATTGCCCGCATGGGTTGGACCCGGTCTCCCGTGAACCCCGGGATCTGTGCTCACAGCCTCACCTGGCAGACCCCGCGGGTCGTCCTTCTTAAAGTGCCCGATGACCTCTCTGATGACATCCTCCACTTTGATTTCGGCCTCTCGCCGTATTCTGGACGCATCCTCTTCCTTTGTGGGAGTGACTGAAAGCGCCAGACCGGACAGTACGTCAGCTGTTATTGCTTTAGCTGCTGTCTTCTACTAATTTCATCATATTAAAAATTTACATCAAAATGTATTTGCATCAATTAATATTTCACCGCTTTGTTGAAAAACTAAAGCATCAAAGTAAGAAGCGGAGCAGCTGTTGGACCTCTGACCGCATACAGGCACAGACGTATGCCAGACAGCCCGGCCGGCGATGCGGCGGACTCACAGGAGAGCTCGAAGCTGTTGAGCTCCGTCATCTCGGCGAGCCACTCGGGCAGGAAGGGCATGCCGCTGCTGAGGGCGAGCAGGCAGCAGCCGAGCAGCGCCGGCGCCAGCAGGCGCGCCATGGTGCCGCCGTCGGTCACTCGCCGTCACACCTGCGGCAGACGGGAGCACCGGGAGGGTCAGCGAGGGCTGAGCGTCACCGCGGGCTGTATTCGACTGTGTCAGACGCTGAGGTCAGGTCAGATAATGACGGCCTCTGGTCAGCGCCAGCCGCCCTGCATCCTGTCACCGCGAGTCTTGGGTCGATTGTCTGGTACCCGACCCAGGGCCCTGGGTATGTGCCTACTGGTTGTCTTTGTGCGCCGTGTCCTGCTCTGTTCCAGTGCTCGTTGTTCGCTGGTCCAGCGGTCAGTGGTCAGCGTCCGCTGGTCCGGTGGTCAGTGGTCGGTGTCCGCTGGTCCACTAATCAGTGTCCGCTGGTCCGGTAGTTAGTGCTCTGTGCCCGCTGGTCCAGTGTTCTGTGCCCGCTGGTCCGTTAGTCCGTGTTCGCTGATCCAGTGGTCAGTGGTCGGTGTCCGCTGGTCTGGTGGTCAGTGGTCGGTGCCCGCTGTTCAGTGTTCCAGTGCTCGGTGTCTGCGTCTCTCCACGTGATGACCTCGCTCCAGTGTAAACAGAGCGGCCGCTGCGCCAGTCTCTGCTGGGGTCTGTGTTCCGCGCGCGCAGGGCGCCGCGCCGGCAGGTCAACGTTGGACCGATCAGGACGCGACACGGTCGGGGGAGGGACCCAGAGCACAACCGGGGAGCCATGCGCCGCACGGTGACGGGCAGATGTTTCCTTTTTTCTGCTGCGCTCTGATGCATGCCATCTAGAGCAGAGCCGTTTGCTACGCAGTTCCGTGAGAGTCGCCTGTAAATTGCGCCGTATTGTGGCGGCTGGTATCGGCTGCCGCGGGGCCAGGCGTACCCAGACAACCTTGTCCCCCCTCCCTGCCCTCTGACGTGACCCCCGATCGCCGGCCACTGAGATCGAAGCGCGGCCCTCTTGACCCCTCACTGGCCATTGGCGCCCGCGCTCGGCCGAGGGGGAGGAGCTCCCGACTCCGGCGACCCCTGACCCGTACCGGGGGGCCGGGCCGCGCCGCCCCCTCCGACCAGCGTCTTTGTGGGCCTCGGAGTCCGTCTGAGTGTTTGTTTGACTCCACGGCGCCACGTGGTGTCCCTGCGCCGTCAGCGCGGCGGACCTCAGCTATGACCTGCGAGAACTGCTTGTGGCGCGAAACTCCCAGAAACATCTGGTTCATACATTTAACAAAGGGTGTTCCGGATATTGCTGTAACAATAAATTGTTTGAGAATATACGGAGTCTTGTCCGTCTCTCCAAGATTATCATGCATTTTTTATTTTTCCTCTTTTATAACAGAAAAGACTTTTAAATTGAAGATGTTTTGCCATTTCTCGAGATGGACGGAAGCTGCTGAAGTGCCACATGGTGGATAGGTAGCGGAACACGCAGTTATCGTGCGCAAGGGACCTGGACTATGTGTGTACATAAAGCTGGCCGTCCAATGAGGTCGTTGACCCGCCTCGGTCTCTGGGTCCCATTTTAGATACGGAGCGGGCGGTACATGCTCGTACACTGGTCACCGGTCGCCTCTCGGCGTTTTAGGACAATCCTGGTGACCGGATGGTAACAGCGTGACGCGGCGCCCGAGACAGACGGTCGGCTCGATAGCGCCTCTCCACGGGCACCTGCTCGTGACGCTTCAGCTCAAATGTCAAGAAGACTGACAATGTTTCCGTTAGAAGGCACAGTTTGAGTCTCCTTGGCCCCTGCTAGTCCGTTCCTTAAGTTTTATACGCTTCCTTCGTTTATTAAGTCTTCAAAACATTTCAAAGCTTTCTGGCATTTCTTAATTGTTCGGTGGTGCGAATTTAGTTTATGTTTTCTCTTGATAATTATCCATGGACCACTATATCCATAGACTACTAGATATATAGTGGTCTATGTCTTATCATATATCATACTAGAACGCCGTAATTCCCACAGAGCATTAATTCCTAAAATCCTTCGTTTTTTTTTTATTCCTGTTACCAGACCGAACTCCGTCATTGACACGGAGGCCATGACGTCTGTCTGGCTGCGAATCTGCGTTTTGTTTACCGACACTGGAATGTCAGCTTCAAACAGCCGACTGTCAGCTGTGAGATGAAAAACATCTCACGCTGTCCAGACGGCGAGTGAAAACATCTGAGGCTGTCCAGTGTCCAGTGAGGAGCTGGACCATCGGAATGGCCCAGTCACAGTGAGCCTTCAACTGGACCAATAGAATTGCCCAATGCGCAGCAAGTGTATACCTATTGTGGCCAATGAAACGGCTCCCGCTCGGTGCACAGCCAGGGATCAGTTTGGTCTCTACTTTGAATTATCTGGGACCGCCTATGACCGCGACCCCCGACTCCGACCCGAGGGTCCCAGGGCCGACTCCGACCCCAGGGTCGGGTTCGGGGGTCTTGTACGTATACAAGTCCGAGACACTCTTACGCTCCGGTAGGGTCTTTGTGAAGGCAGGTCACCAGCCTTATCACGGTGGCGCGCAGCCTTTGTGATGCGCTGGTTCGCTGGGCTTTCAACGAGCAACTGGGCCGGTGCTCTCAGGGCGCTTAGATCAATCATTTTATTACTCCTACGTATGGTTCGAAAGGAGCACACTGGTGCTCACGCAATCTTGTTGTTTTAATTTTCCACTTCATTTTGTTGTACATATGAGATGTAAGAATGTAAGAAAATTCACAATTCTTCTTGGAATTCGTCAGACATTCCATGTCATGTCATTCTGTGTCATGTCATGTGTGTCGCCGTGTCATTTGTAACCGGTCAGTCATATGCGTCATAAACCGCCCATTGCCTTATGCCACACTTATAATGTCATCACGAATGCCGTCAGTCAGGCCAATAAGCGGAGGTGTCCGGCTGCAGGGGATAGACTGGCGCCGCTCTGCGCTCCCTATCCGTCGGTACTCACGTGTTCTCCCTCACGGCCCTCCTGGGAGCAGTCGGGTCGGCGGGCTCTCCGGCACGTTCGGCGTCTCTCCCTGCGTCACCTCCGTCCGGCCGGCGGTCGCTCTTTGTCTCGCGGCGCCCTCTGTCACCTGCCTGGGCTGCCTCTCTGTGACAGTAGACCTCTCGCTGGTGGTGCCCTGCCTTCGGTCCGCTCGGTGTGGTCCACCGGGTCGGTCGGTGGCCGGAATTCACTGCCCGCCCTGCGTCGTGCCCTGCGTCGTGCCCTGCGCCGTGCCCGCGGCTACACTGCTGCTGCGGTCGACCAGCGCCGCTGTCTGCCGGTCGCCGGGGCCAGCTCGCGCCCGCCGCCCGCCGCCCGCCGGGCCGGGCCGACCAAAGGTCCCCGTGACGTGTCTGTCGCCGCCTGTTTATCAGGGAGCGGGGGACGCGCTGACCCGGCCGCACGACGACCTCGCGCGCCGAGGACGACCTGCCGGTCTCCCTGAGCTCAGAAATCCACCCGATCTCGGCAAAAGAACTGCGAGGTAACAGTAACCAATCTAAAACCTGGCATTTTGTTCCGCATTGCTGTGCTGATGAAACGTTTGAACATTATCTTTAGCTGAAAAATTCATGCATTTTTATCATACCTTTCTTGAGGAATTCAAAACAGATTATTTCCGCACGCGGCACGTTGACATGCATTAGTCATATTATTGGCTAATCGCCTATCAAATATCGGGTTCAGATGACGTTTCTAGCGCTTTATCACTTGCGTTTCATTTCATCAGTAGATCTACGGGCTCGATCAAGCGGTTCAGATATTGATAGTCTGCGGCGACAACTTATCGAGGCCGCCTCGCTCGATCAAGAGGCAATGCTGTTTGGCTTTGTGGTGTTATCTCGCACCGGACTACCGCTCAGGGTTCAGGCTGCCGCGGCCGGGACAGAGTCCGTACTCCGTCCCGCGGACCATGCCGGTACGTCAGGGTCCGTCCCGCCGGTACGTCAGGGTCCGTCCCGCCGGTACCCCAGAATGTGGCCCGTCCTTACCCAAGGACGGACGGGACAGGCGATAGGGTCCGTCTGCAGTCTGTCCCCCCGGTACCTCAGGGTCCGTCCCCCGGTACACCAGGGTCCGTCCTGTGGACCATGCCGGTACCCCAGGGTCCGTCCCGCCGGCATCCCTTACCCAAGGACGGACGGGACAGGGTCCGTCTGTGGTCCGTTCCGCCGGGACCTCACGGTCCGACGGACGGGGCAGTCTGTCTGTTTCGGACCATGCCGGTACTTCGGGGTCCATCCCGCCGGTACATCAGGCTCCGTAACACCAGTAACTGGGTCCGTAACGCCAGTACCTGGGCCCTTTCTTGGCCCGCCCGCCGGGACCGCGTCACTGCCACTGCGGTACACGTCCCTGTTGTGTGGCAGGGCGTGTTCCGCTGCCACTGCCTCTGGCGCCAGCTGAGGAGATGTCCCTCGGTGTGCAGTAGCTGTCCGAGTAGGTGCGCGTTGGTGGCCAGCTGTGCCGGGGAGCCGTGGCTGCGGACGGCCAGTGCAGGGTCCACACTCCTCACACTGCCCTGTCTGGGTGAGATGGTGAGCTGACATCCAGTGCAGGGTCCGGCCGGTCTCTGAGGCCGCGCTGACCCGGTGCCCGGTCTGTGCCAGTTCGGGGCCTCCGGACGCCGGACGGTCGGGACACAGAGGACCGTGACGTTACGTTGACATCAGTGACATTGTTTACCCGGCGTGAGAGGTAACGCAGCGACGACTGGACCGCAGAGCTCTGCCACCCGTACTGCAAAAGCATTCATTCTGGCTGCAACAAAAACCCCTGGCTGTGGCTGCAGTAAAACATCACTTCATTATATGCTGCAAAATATCACTCCCGAGAGATTGATGAATGAGTTACACATCATGATTAGATTCCTGCCGGAGAGCAAAATGATATTCCCCTTCATGCGATTCATTCTTGCTAACACGGTCGAAAATGGCTTTTATAGTCTCGAATCACATTATCATGCTAAGCTCTACGGTCGAGCACCGCGAAATACATACAATGCCTACTTATACTACTTATAGATGTATGCAGTATGTGTCAGTGTATGCTAATATGTAATGTGTAGGACGTAGGTACCTATATCAGGGTGTGGTATTCAACCCACATATCAGTTGACTTCAAGCCTCGATCTATCGATCGTTAAAGCAACATGACGTTTAATGAGGCATCGTGTCTTACAAAAGTTCCATCTGCCTTATTTTGATAATGACCTGTGGTCGAAATCATCAATAATTAGTTCATCCTCATATCATGTGGTATTTCATTGTAAGGAGGCCATTCAAAAAGCGTTTTTCTCATGCAACTAGTCAGTGGCGGCGGAAGGTAATTTTGGATGGGGGTGCAAAGTTTTCTCGAGGGGCCCCTCTGGAAGTTTGAGCCCCCCTTCATTTTTTTAGTGATTATTATTGATTTATGGAAAACGAAGATTTTGGAAAACTATCCCCATACACACAAGTTCTGCAAAATGTTTGAAATTGCAGTGTACGAGGGGGTATCGAAAAGTTCTGATCATCACCACGAATGAGATGTGATAGAAATTGGATTTTTTTACATGATGTTCATTACTCCTTTACAAGTCACCACACACGACCGCAAACTTATTGCATCGTTTCTTGAGCTGCCTCAGGCGGTCATTGTAGGACCTTCGCACTGTCCCGTAAATCACTGCTCCATCTCATCAAAGACGTCATTTCTGTCCTTAAATCACCGGCCATACTGTGGATTCTTCTTCTCCCGTAACAATCAAGAGTCAGTTAATACCCGGTCAGGCGAATTTCTTAGATGCGGTAGGATTTAATGTCCACATCATGTTCTTTCTTCAATCGCAGCTCAGGACGAATGGGCGGGAGCGCTGTCGATGCGGATAAAGCATCTTTCTTGGGCTTTTTTTGCGGCGATTCTGCTTGCGGCCATCTCGCAACTTCTTCAAAAGTGTGCAGTGGTGCTTGCTTATCATTATCCGACCATCATCAAGACAGTCGGTAATGACTATCCTACGCCAGATCCAGAACACTGATAGCATTGACCTTCCATATCGGCTTCTGCATCTTCGCCTTTTAACCCGCGCCCTGCTGGGGGGGGGGGGTGTTTGAACACCCCCCCTAAGGTTTTTCGCGAATATCTCAAAAACGGCGGCGCGGAGCGCCGCCGTTTTTGGTATACCTTATCATACATCAATTCTACACATGTTGTAAAAATTTCAGACCAAGGTCGTTCAAGGTCAGGTCACCAGGTCACTTGAGGTGACCTCACCTCATAAAAAGTTTCAATGTCTGTCATAGCTACACCGAGTGACCGATTGCTTTGAAACTTTCAGCGATTGCTAAGAGCAATAGCATGTACAAAATGTATATCTCAGAATTTTGATATCGATGACCTAAGGTCAGGTCAATTTTGCGACCTCCCCATTATAAGTCAATGGGAGAAAATTCAAATGCGCCTCTTTTGGACGAAAGACATTATAAACACTCCCAAACACTGAATTACAAGTGGTTTAGACACACTGAACATGAAAATGGTGTCCGTGACCCCTGTTTATGCCCTGAGGTCATCTTAGGTCACGAATAGTATCTAACAGTTTTTCGCAAATAACTTTTGATAGAGGCATGCTAGAGCGATGAAAACGCCTTAGATGTGTTCAGCTCGACGATACGGATCGACTGATATGCAACATGACCCTTTCCGGTCAGGTCATGACCTTGACCTGAGGTCAAATTTTCAAGTTGACTTTTCAAGGTCAAATTATAGTTCATTCGATGCGTCTTGACGAGAGGAACACGATGCCGGTACAAGTAAGCTCGTACAAGGCTTGAGTCAAAAGTTATTGCAGAAAAACTGTTTCCGAAAAAATCGGCTATTTTTGCAGTTTTTGCCCCCTGCAGGCAAAACCGTTGACGTTAGGTCAAATCTGAGATAATTACTCAGAAAGGGCGTTAATAGGGCTATCGAATGCGCTTTTCCGCGCCGCTGTAGCTCTATTGGTTCCCGAGTTATACGTTGGCTTCTTGGAAATTGTCGACATTCGACCTTGAAATCGGCGAAATTTTGCCTTCAATGACCTCTGGTGACCTGACCTTTGACCTGACCAAAAAATTGACCGAAGTGATTTCCTCATTATTTTTGACGCGCTTTCGAACGCCGCCTTCCGCGTGTCGCTACGTGGCCCAGGAGCCGAGTTAGAAGGGGGGGTTTTCAAACACCCCCCCCCAGCAGGGCGTGGAAATCCAGGACCCCCAGCCGGGCGCGGGTTAACCCGGCAGTTGCTGGGGTATTTCGCCACCCACCGTTTGCTGGGGGGGGGGGCGTTAAACGCCCCCAGCCGATAACTCGAGAACCAATAGGCGCAGCGAAACGCACGAGGCGGCAAACGAAAGAACGCGACGAGACGCTTCAAATGAGTACTTTAAAGTTGAATTTTGAGGTCACAGGTCGGGTCAAGGTCAGGTCAAACACCTGAAATCGGGCTTTCAGTAGCATTGACTTCAGGACTTCGCAATGGGCGCCTCTCGTCACAAACTCTGTCAAAACGGTGCACAATCCATCATATAAGGCCTACAAGAGTGCCAGCTCCATGTAGGGGTCAGTCAAGCATAGGTCAGGGTCAAGGTCAGGTCAACCGGGTAGGCACATATCCCCGAAAATCAAAACTGATATTCGCAGCCTGTGACACATGTTTTATGGGTAATTTTGGGCGTAGAACACGATGGTGACATTCATTTTATCATATGTGTACGTGTTTGGCTCAAAAAGTTCAATTTAAGAAATTCATGTATCATGGTCGTGAAGTAGTCACGAGAAATTGTCAAGATTCAGTTCAAGATTTAGGAAAATGCGGAACGATAATCAATAATCGAAGATAGCCATTTGATTGTTCATGGTATTGGCAGTCTAATGGCGTTTACGGCATGTCTGTATGTCTATTCTGTGATTTTATATGATTTTTTGAACATATGCCGTTTTTGGTCGAAAACTCAGAAATCATGACGTCACTAAAACCTCGATATCTCAAAAATTTTCCGACCGATTTTTTTTAAACTTAGTCACAATAAACTTCAATCAATTCCCTACAGGTACCCAAAATTTGGCGCGCCTGCGGCGCGCCGTTTTTATGCTGTGGCCCGGCGAAAAAAGTGGGGGCGTTTAACGCCCCCCCTTGTGGTTTTTCGCGAATATCTCAAAAACGGCGGCGCGGAGCGCCGCCGTTTTTGGTACACCTTATCATACATCAATTCTACACATGTTGTGAAAATTTCAGACCAAGGTCATTCAAGGTCAGGTCACCAGGTCACTTGAAGTGACCTCACCTCATAAAAACTTTCAATGTCTGTCATAGCTACACCGAGTGACCGATCGCTTTGAAACTTTCAGCGATTGCTAAGAGCAATAGCATGTACAAAATGTATATCTCAGAATTTTGATATCGATGACCTAAGGTCAGGTCAATTTTGCGACCTCCCCATTATAAGTCAATGGGAGAAAATTGAAATGCGCCTCTTTTGGATGAAAGACATTATAAACACTCCCAAACACCGATTTACAAGTGGTTTAGACACACTGAA